TCCATCAAGCATGGCACAGTCGAGGCGGGATCGTAGGCCTTTGACAAACTGGGTATATGACAAACTGGGCCTGTGACAAACTGGGCATGTAACAAACTGGGCCTGTGACAAACTGGGCCTATGACAAAATGGGCATATCACAAACTGGGCCTGTGACAAACTGGGCCTGTGACATACTGGGTATATTATGAAGAACTGGGCCTGTGAAAAACTGGGCCTGTGACAAACTGGGCCTGTGACAAACTGGGTCTGTGACAAACTGGGTTCGTCGTCAGTAACAGGGTAAAACCAGCCCGCCTTCTCATTGGTCTAAATGGTGACGTTGAGGGCGTAAAACTTTTACAATTGCATCTACGAACGTTTTTGGAGGCTCTCGTGGCCTCAAGGGTAAGGTGTTCGCTTCAGATTCAAAGGTCCTGGGTTCGAATCCGGGTAGCTACCGAAAAATTTTCTTCTCTAAAATTGTCTCCTTTCACCACCTTTCCTGCTCTCTAGCAATGTTCTGTCGTCTGCTTTTGTCTCCTCTTTTTGCCCCCACCCACTCACCTCCTTTGCCCCCTCCTCTGGGCTCCTGACTCTTTCTGCAGCCTTTCTACTATACTGCTACTGCTTGGCTCCTTCTTACTGCGGTCTTTCAGCCACATAACTGATCTTCTGGTAGCCTTCTCGGCCCGTGTGCAAGTTGCGCATGTTAAAGATCTCTTGGTGGTCTAAAATCGATAAGAGTAGGCTTCTGCCGCCACCCGGGCAAAATTCAAAATTTCCTTCCAACTGAAAAAGTTTAACGTGTCCCGCGCGCTCATGTGATCGTTTTGCAGTTGCGACCGCCGAAAAACACTTTTTTTTTAATTTAAAAAAAAAATCAAACTGGGTCAGTAACAGTCAGGGTAAAACCAGCCCGTCTTCTTCTCACTGATCGAAATGGTGACAATGAGGGCGTAAAACATTTACAACTGCATCTACAAACGTTTTTTCTGAGTCATACAACACAACGTTCCTAACTGAGGGTTCAGCTCCATTATTATTATTATTATTATTATTATTATTATTATTATTATTATTATTATTATTATTATTATTATTATTATTATTATTTCTAGTATTATTATCATTATTATTGTTATTATTATTATTATTATTATTTTCGTACTTTTATTTGACAGCCGTAAAAGTTTTTCACGATAAGAGAGCACATCAAATCAAGTTACTCAGCTGTAGCATTGTGGTGGGGGAAAACTCGTTGGGCGAGCGGACAGCAGGAGATCTTCAGAGGAACCCCCCCCCCCCCTACCTCAAGCAAGTGTTTCGGTCCTAATTTCCTGACACTCTAATACGGGGTGCCCACTACAGCTGGATCGGGCCGATCGCCCGACTCGATCGCCTGAAACTGAAAACAAACACGTTTGTTTTTGCGGCGATCGAGTCGGGCGATCGGCACGATCGGCCAATCCCGTCCGTAGGCTAGTGGGCACCCCGTATAAGGGGGCCAGGCCACACTCAGGTCATGAGCCCTGAGTGCTCTCCTGTTGTTTCTGTTTGTTTGTTTTCTGTCTTCTTTGAAAAACTTTAACGACAGGAAAACAATCCTTATAACAACATGAAACAAAGAAATAAACGCAAAGATAAAGTAAAGTTCAGGACGAAAAAAAAAGCATAGAGAAGGATAGGATTGGATTCTTTCTCTGGTGTTCTCTTTTCATGCGTACTGAAGGACTGTTAGTCACAATCTTGTGTCTTTAGATAAACAAAAGCAAGACATTTAAGGATTCTAAAACACAGCGATGGTTTTTGGAATCATTTAATTTCACTCCTTCACTTTAAAGCATATTTTTACACATCGTGAACAGATGTGCATACGACATTTAATTAAATACACTGTAGCCTTCTGCATGAAACCAATTTACTTACTAATCTCAAGAGCCTAGAGCTCAGGAGAGAAAAACGGGACAGAAATTAAAATATTATTTATACGTTTTCTAATGCCGTGCAAATTAAATATTCTTACTAGATCTAGGAAGTTTGTTTCGCCTTGCCGCTTGTTTTTTTTGTTTTTTTTAATTTTTTTTTTTTAATTGAAGTACATATGTAGTTATCTTGGCCGAAAAAACAACAACAACAACAACAACAACAACAACAACAACAACAACAACAACAACAACAACAACAACAACAGAACACAAAGTATATCAAACATAGCAACAGCTATTGTGCCATTTCAAGGCAGGAAATCTTACGCAAAAAATAATAAATCTTCTGCCCGCAGTTAAATTTAGGCATTAAAAATTTGTGAGGCAGTGTGGTGAAGCAAGGCACTTGTCAAAATAATGAAAATCAAGACATTGGCATTTTCCCGCAGGTTTGGAAATTGTTATCGAATTTTTGTTTTTTTCGGCTCAACACCTTTCATGCCCATTAAAGTAGAACACATTTTTGTGAGCATTTTACTTTTTCAAAAAACGTTGATTAGAGGAAATTGTTTTGTTTTTGTAAGTGTTTTACGGCGCTCGCAACTGCATAAGGTCATATGAGCGCGCGGGGTACAATAAACATTTTCAGTTTTCAGTTGGTAGGAAATCTTTCCTACCAGAAGATCAGGGGTGAGGCTGAAAGACAGAAATAAGAAGAAGCCAAGGAGTAGCAGTCGAAAGGCTGTAGAAAGAATCAGGAGCCCAGAGGAGGAGGGCAAAGGAGATGAGGGAGTGGGGGCAGAAAGAGGAGACGAAAGCAGACGACAGAACATTGTTAGAGAGCAGGAAAGGAGGTGAAAGAAGACAAACTTAGAGAAGAAAATGTTTCGGTCACTACCCGGATTCGAACCCGGGACCTTTGAATGAGAGGCCAACACCTTAACCTCTAAGCCACGAGAGCCCCCTTAGAGGAAATAAAAAAGAACTGTTAGAAAACGATAACCGACAATAACATAAATTTTACGGTAACAATTTTGTTTTAGAAACGACAAGTTACATTTTATTTAAGATTACAATACTCAGAATTTTGCGTAAAGGTCAATAGCCTATGAGATCGAGAATTCTGTTAGGATCAACGACGGAAAACAAATCTTCGTTATACATACAGATTTTTCAATTTGATTTTCTTTTTCTGAAATTTCAAAACGCATACAACAAGGAGCTAGAATAGGCAACAAACGCTTGTAAAAGCACTACCGAATTTTAAAAAATTAAACACTAACTAATAGTAATAGATGTAATTATTGTCAATTTATTTCCTCAGATTCTTTTATATAAATATCAGTATGTTGAAATATTAGTACAACTATTCATTCGTTCTCATAGTCTATGGTTGTCTGATACGAATAAGATCACTAACATATACTAACATGGGATCTATTAAGGGGGTACGGTAAAGTAAAGTTGTCCCCGCATCCGATCCGGACATTGATTGGGGATTGCCTTGTTAGTGAGACAACTTCCTGGGATTTCGGCATAATATTGTGATAGCGTAGCCAATTCCTTTCCACGCCGTCTTTACTTCCATAACTCGAAGTCAGGTACATGTACCCATTACTGCTGGGTGGGCAGGAAGGGGCGAAATCGAGGTTCGAACCCGGACTTTCCGCTTCGGAGACGAGTGCACAAACCGCCCTGCCACCTCAAGGGATAGGAAAAAAAATGACTATCTGAGACGAATGGAGAATTATGATCGCCGTTATTTGACGCTATCTGTTCCGGTTCTAATAAAGCTGACTCCTGTGGCTCTCGAGACCTAGAGGCCAAGGTGTTGGCCTCTCATTCAAAGGTCCCGGCTTCGAATCTAGATCTAGGTAGTGACGGAAAACTTTTCTTCTCTAAAAGTGTCTCCTTTCACCCCCTTTCCTGCTCTCTAGCAATGTACTATCGTCTGCTTTCATCTCCACTTTCTGCCCCCACCCCTTCACTTCCTGTGTTCCCTCCCCTGGGCTCTGGCTCTTTCTGCAGCTTTTCTACTGCTACACATTGGCTCCTTTTTGCTGCTGTCTTTCAGCCTCGCAACTGATCTGCTGGTGGGAAAGATCTACACCTAGCCTTCTCGGATAAGGGCAACAAATCTCGGAGGGCCTGTGAGCACGTTGCGCACGTTAAAGATCCCTTGGTGGTCTAAAATCGATAAGAGTAGGCTTCGGCCGCCAAGCGGGCAAAATTCAAACTTTCCTACCAAGTGAAAAAGATTAACATGTCCCGCACGCTCATGTGACATTTTGCCCGTTGCGAGCCTCCAAAAAAACACTTAGGCCTATCCAAAAAAAAAGGAAGTTGACTTTAAACCAAGACGGTCAGAGATCGTATAAGAACGTAGCCTATAGTAATAGTTCTAAACCAAAAATCAATAAAACGTCACAAACCTTTCTGGCCAGTTTTGCCCGGCCGACTCTAGAATCGCCCAACACTAATGAATCGTTGCTGTTTCTACTATTAGAATATTGCGTCGCTTTTAAACCTCATTGTGTCCTACAATTTCATGACCGCTCTGACTGAGGTTTTACTTTATTAGGGGGTTCCCGGGGTCAAGAGGTTTACAGTGTTCTCCTCTCATTAAATAGGTCATGTGTTCGAGACCTGACAGTGAAGGGAAATGTTCTTCTCTAAAATGTTCTCCTTTCCCCTTCTTTCCTGCTTTCTTACCATGTTCTGTCGTCTGCTTTCGTCTCCGCTTTGAACCCCCAACCCTACCGTCCCTTTTGCTCACGCTAAAGATCCCATTTAGCTCCCTCCTCTAGCGCTCCTGATTTTTTCTGCACCCTTTCTACTGCTTCTCCGTGTCTCCTTCTTACTTCTGTCTTTCAGCCACACCCCTGATTTTAGGGTAGGTAAGATCTAACACCTACCCTTTCCGGATGACGGTAAAAACTCTTGGAGGTCGTGTGTGCAAGTTGCGCACGTTAAAGATCCATGTCCCGTCATAGTTTTGATCGTGGAAAATTATTGTAAGTTCTTTCACACAATGTATAAGTACGGAACCAGAGACGGAAGTTGTACCCTTTTTCGTATTTTTAGTCACAGAAAACTCGTTTCCACGTCCAAACTGTCATGGCTGAAAAAGGGCCCCTCCCAGAAGGCAGATTGGATCATTCTGCTCCAGAAACTCTGTCTTTGAAAGAAAGGTAAGTTTTTATTGTCTGTTGTCTTGATACCTTGAAGTTACTGTATATGAACTATGAACTGAACTATTTAGACCCGTTCATGTGGGAATATAGGGGCGTGTCCAAAGGCTGAGAAAGGCAAAAAGGTCTGAAATTCCTGAGACCTGTGATGAGTAATAGATCTGGAGATCTAATTTTGATAGATCTATCTAATCTAGATAGATCTAGATCTAGATCTAAAATCTAGTGTCTAGATCTAAGATAATCTAAAACCAGATCTAGAATCTAGATGTAGTAATACTACTAAACACTAAACTGTTTACTATCATACCTGTATTTTTGTAAAGTGAAATAAGATGCATGGCCATGGCATAAATCTAGCATTATAATATTAGATCTAGATATCTAGATCTACTTACAGGCCGCCGATTATTAAGATTCCCGCGTTTAATTCCGATTGCATTTTTCAGGGTTAGGGTTAGAATCTAGGGATAATTATGGTTAGGGTCAGGGTTAGGGTCAGGGTGTTAAGGTTAGGGTTAGGGACCAAAGCGAAATATGCCTTCCTGAGGCTATGAAAAATGCAAATCGGAATTTAAAGGCGGGGATTTTAACACACGTCCATTGGCCTAGTAACTTGAGTTAGTGTAAGTTTTAAATATAGAATCTAGTGCACAGCCTAGCATGTGTTTAATAGTAAATATAGTAATCGGCCTAGATTATTTCTCTGGCAAGATGCTTTTTACTTTTTGAATATTGATCCATAAATAAAACGGGATTCAGACTCGCTACTGACCAATTTTTTTTCTTTAATAGAACTCAACTTTTACTGAAGATATCGGGAAGAATGTTTTCTTCAGTGAATGCCCCAATTTCTCCCGCTTGTATTGGTGTGCTTTTATGAAAAGAATCGTGCTACTATAAATTTGCATGTTCCTCTTGGTTACCCTCTGGTGACAGTGAGTCCGCCACATTTTCACACTTCTGTCGCAGAGCGTGTGGTATTTCTTTGTAATGATCCCTGGCAAATTCAATTAATAAGTGATAAGAGGAGATTAAATTAAGAATGTGTAGAATAGATCACAGTAATCGCTGAAATTCTACAGAAAAATACTTTGTCTTTACCAATGTAGGCCGCTTTAGATACAAAGCTATATAATTGATTACTCCTTTTCAAAATTTCCTCAATGACGTATTCACACAAGGAGTGACAAGGGCCCTTCTCAATAGAAAATAATGTGTCATAAGGTGTTGCTCAGCTTTAACGCTAAAGATCTGTGGTCTCTGACTAGTTTGTTTTTATTCAGTTTCTTATTTTATTGTTGGTTTCTTTGTCTTTTTCTTTCAGAATGATGAGCTTGTCCCTGTCTAACGCGTCTGCCCGCGAGTGGTTCTCCAAGACAAGGGAGAGCGTCAGGCCATGGGCAGAGTTTGTCAACACCAAGAGATTTGGCGTGCCAAAGTCCATCGCTCCAGTGCCCAAAAGAATTGTGAAGAACATTGAGACTTTTCAGGGAAATTACCTGTTTGTGTTCATGGGTCTTGTCGTTTTCTGCATGTAAGTATGTGTCATGTATTGTTGTTTTTTTTTGTTTTTTTTAAAGTAGGATGTTTTTACACCCCCAGCAATACAATTTAGATCATTTAGGAGGCGGGCTTCTGACCCTGCTTTACAACGTCAACCTTGGCTGAGAGAAGTACAGCATCCAGCAGAAAGATAGAGGTAGTCAATAAAGATGTTCTCTCCACTTAGGAATCGAAAATGGGTCCCCTGCGTGCGACAGTGAAGTGCTTAACTGCTACACCACAGGTGCCCAGTGTGGTGTATATATTTTCCAACCAATAGTTTACCCGAGATTATACAGAAGTATACTGGAGTAAGATGTTAGTATCAGGAAAAGAAATCAAATGAGGTAGTGCTCGATAAAGCCCTGGTGGGACGCTGACTGTTAAAAACAATCTGGAATCGACAAATTTGTGCAGTTTTTGGGACACCTGAATAGAAATAAAAGGGTCTTGAACATGTAGCTCTCACTGGCAAAATTGAAGGCAAACAAGGCAGGGGTAGGCGCAAAGCATCATGCTTAGGGAACCTAAATAAATGGGTAACATGGAAAGATCAGGGAAATGTCGCTTTTTTTAGAGCATCCGAGCAAAGGAATGAATGGAGAACTACGATCGCCAATGTCTGTCGCAGATCTGGCACTGGATCATGATGACGATGAAACAGAAGTGGCGTAGGTGGCCTAGCGGTTAGGGTACCGGACTCGTAATCGTGAGGTTGTGTGTTCGTGGGTTCGAACCGAGGGCCCAATGTTGTGTCGTAGGGAAAGGCACATTATACGAATTTTCCTCTCTTCACCCAGGTGGGAATGGGTACCCGGCCATAGACAGCAAAAGATCTTGTCAGTATGATGGCGTTTTATTGTCCATAAATGGCAGCTTGCACTGTATGCTTCCCAAGAAGTTGAGTTTGTTTCAGAATGCTCTCAGGTCTGCTGGGGTAATAGTATAGATTGTAAAGCGCATAGAGCTTTCTGTTGAGCGGGGATTTGTGCTATACAAATGCTATCTAATATTTATTATTATTAAGTAAGAGGTTTGCATTAATAACATAAGTGAAGATACTTATAAATATCATTACTGTATTGTTTGTACATATAACCCCCCCCCCCCCCCCCAAATTTATGATATATTTGATGAATACATTTTCCACATCTCCATTCAGTGGCAAATTTTTATCACACATCGTCCTTATTTTCCTTCTTCCCACCTTGCTGTCACATCATATAATTTTGGTGATCATTTTTTGTGTGTGATTTAACCTTGGACTTTTTCCCAGTGTGTATCTTTGCCTTTACAAAGTTAAATTTCTTGCTTAGTAATAATGATAAAGCTGAAAATTTGCAAAAAAATACTTTGAAATAAATATACAACTTTGGTAACAAGACGACTGTGCCTATACAGCTTATCATGTATGTATACCTGAGATTGTCTGTTTTTTATTGCCAGCCTTTAAGTGAAGTTAGGTCTTTAGTAAAGTTAAGTAAGAGATTTATGGCACTTGCAAATGTATAAGATCATATAAGTGCTGAAGATTAGAGGTATTACAAGAGAGTAAGAAACACGAAAAAGGAGAAGGAGGAAAGATAAGGACGATATATGTTTAATAGGAAAGAAGGAGCAAACCATACCAGAGCACTCACTAACCACCCATAAAATAAAGTCTGGGTTGGTCTCTGAGGAATAAAATCATAGTAAGGTTTTCTCCCCTTGTATTGTCTTGTTCAGATTGACCTCCCCTCTCCTGCTGGTGGCCTTGGCTGCATGTTTCGGCGCCTGCTACTTGATCAGCGTGAAGAATCAGGACAAGAAAATCACCGTCATGGGTAAGTAGGTCATAACCGTGGGTGAGTGGGTCAGAGCTGTGGCGATATAGGGCACAGTCGTGGGATAAATAGGTCACAGATGCGCTGTAAATGGTCACAGTCATGGGATAAGCAGGTCTCATTTATGGGTAAGTGATCACAGTCATGAATAAAAAGGTAACAGGGTTAGAAGGTCACAGTCATGGGGAAGTGAATCAGTCTGGTAAGTAGGTCACAGTCATGGGGAAGTGAATCAGTCTGGTAAGTAGGTCACAGTTGTGGGGAAGTGAATCAGTCTGGTAAGTAGGTCACAGTCATGGGGAAGTGAATCAGTCTGGTAAGTAGGTCACAGTTGTGGGGAAGTTTGAATCCCAGTCTGGACGACCTTGAACTCGGGGTCGTTTTGTGGAGTTTTCAGGGCTCTTATTCCATTTGGCAGAACGTTAAATTCAGAAGTCCCGCCTCTAAATAAGCTAATAGTGTTGATAAAGGTGATAGACCCATACACTTAATTACTTACTCACTTCTAGTTAGATTATTCTACCAACATGAGACCCATACACTTAATTACTTACTCACTTCTAGTTAGATTCTTCTACCAACATGTATGATCAGCAGCCACAGGGATTGTTTTATTCAGTGTATACATGTCCTTTAGTCAGATTACAGGTCCATAAATATGTGTTTAAAATGATTGTTGTTAGACCATTGTGCATGAAACTTGTTATCGTTCAACACTTCGAGCGCCGGTGAAAATTACAAGTACGCCAGGCCCAAGAAGTCCATTGCTGTCGTTCTCCTGGCTGGGTGACTACATGGGGTATTTTGTACTGCTGGCTGAGGGACTGCAAAGTGTTAAGATATGGATTTTTAACTTTGTATTTTATTGTGAAGCGCTGAGAGCCACTGAAGAGTGGTCACAACAGAAGTGATTTTTAAATCATTCACTGCCAGGGATTGAAGTCACAGTTAAATCCCGGCGGCTGGCATTTCAAGGGCGTTTTAGGACCTTCCGTGATGGATAATATTCAGTGAGTTAATTTTAGTATTGTTTCATAACCACCAGCAGATGGATTGATGTGATGTTTGATGCGATGCTTGTTTCTCTCTCTCTCTCTCTTTCCACATGTCACGCAGGGAAGGAGCTTAGCCTTGCCCAACAGTACGCTGCTGTTGGCGCCATGTCCTTCCCGCTCTTTTGGCTGGCCGGAGCTGGATCAGCTGTTTTCTGGGTCATAGGTGGGTGCTTGTAATTAAATTTCAGCATGTGGTTGAATTATGCATCTGATGTGATATGTACTTTTTGTCAGCTTTACTTCTCTTTTCATATTGAATTTTAATGAGTGATATATATTTAAATTCTTAATGTATACCTGCATGTGTTTTTAGGGTCCTGTACAGCCAAGAAAAATTTCCCTCTGGGATAATAAAGTAATATCTTATCTTATTTTATCTTATCTTAGGTGCTCGTGGTTGCTTCATCGGCAGTCACAAAACTCCCTTCTCCCCCCCACCCATCCCATTGTTATCTCTCTCTTTACATCTGTCTTTCTCTCTGTGCCTGTGTGTGTGTCTCTCTCTCTCTCTCTCTCTCTCTCTCTCTCTCTCTCTCTCTCTCTCTCTCTCTCTCTCTCTTCCTATGTTTATTTATATGTGTATGCAGCACATATGTGAGCAGTTTTGTGCTATTGTGGTTATGTTTACAGACCTAAGTACTCGGATAAAATTGAAACTCTCCCATTTTATTTTGCACGTCAAAGAACGCGGATCAGATTTGCAGAAAACCCCATTTTATTTTTCTTCTTGATTTTCAGTTCTGTCAGATCGTATTGCCACTTTTTGCAAATGACATGAAAATACTCATTTTTGTTTAAGTTTATTTGCAATATATTTGCGGCTTATCATGAATGATGTGAAAAAAACAAATTTTTATTTGCAACACACGTTTATTTGCATTGGTGGCTTTGTTACAACATCTCAGTCTACTGGGGTTCTGGCAACTCTGATTGTTTTAATTCCCCAAACTCCAATTCTTTTGGAATTTTTTTGAGGAAAACTTAGTTTTTAGTCCTCAATTGATGTGCAACTCTACGTTAATGCCCCTGAGCTGTTTAACTCATTCAGTGCTGAGCGCTTCTCCTGTGAACTCCCCTCATATACTCTGCAGTTTTGTTATGGCAACATGAAATTAGGTCTACCCACGAAAATAAATCAAAACTAGCGGGCTTAACACTTTCCCTACCGAGAGCCGCAAAATATGGCTCGAGTGGCTAACTATCTATTCCAATCCAGTAATGAAAAGGTACAAAATTCTCGGCCGATCCACGTTTTCAAAATAATAGAATAGACTTCCTGTCAGCAGATACGAAAGAAAATATTGCACTGACAGACGACTTTTAGTCATTTTAGCGCTTTTTTTGTCCCCTTCGAAACGTAAATATGAGGAAGAATAGCGCTCCCCTGACTTCAGCATATGTCTCATACTTTCACTTCTATATTAGGTACACATACATAACTTTCAGCATTTCTTTGCATTACTTGAGGCAACCTACCTGGGAAGTTTGAATGATGCTGTTGTTGTACTTTTTTAGTTATGACCTTTCAAATCTGGAAAATTGTTGATTTCATATGACACCTTCGATATTGCATGATCACTTTTAGAAACCCCAAAGTAATATAATTGGAATAAATCTTCAATTTTGTATAGCCATCTGATAGATTATTTTTTAACCTTCAGTTTGATGGGCCGTAAGATTTGGTTTGTGTGTGTTTATTTGGATTTTTTTACATTTTCCTGTGGCGGGTTAGGGGCGTAAAAATAGGTCAGGGGAAAGCCCTGGGCCAGTGGTGGATTTTGGCCTGGTAGGAAAAGAGTTAATGGCTGTTCCAGCAGAAAAAATGTCTCCTTGACCTTTCCCACAATTCGTCACGATTAGTAAAATAACTTGGTATGGATTAGATAGAGTAATTCTTTCTATAAAGGTAGGAAGGCAGAATGCGAGAATACTCGTCGCCAGTATGTGGACGGGGCCCTGGTTTCACGAGTATTCTCGTCTGTAGCACTGAATTCAATTTCACATATATCAAGTGTGCTGACAAAATGAGTTACTTCTCAGATTTTAGACCGATGGAAATAGAAACATCAAATTTATAGGTTGAAGTTTTACAATTTATCAGTATGAAATGATAAAAGACATGGTAAACTTGAAGAGAATGGCATTGGTTTAGAGTCTACATATTATGACCCTTGTGTTGATTTTTGGCTGATATCTCCGTTCATGGATTGCGAGAAGTAACTCATTTTGTTAGCATGCCTCACATATATGCAAAGACATTCTGTCACAAGCAATCCACATAGGTCCAAATTTTGACAAATTTTTATTTTTACACCCTCCCAAAGCTTTATCTGTGTATCCCATGGACAGCTAAAAAAAAAAATGAAGAAGTCTTGGTTGAAGCAAATTGCAAATGACAGGTTATGATGAATATACGTAAGCGACAGGCAAATTTAATTGGACACACAATGCAGAAAGAAGCATTGGAGAATGTTGTAACAACAGGCAAATTTGATAGAAAGAGAGGCAGAGGCAGACTCATGGAAAAGATACTGGACAAGATGACAACATGGCTGGGAGCAGCAAGAACAATAGACACCGTTGCTGCAACGCAAGACAGAGTGAAGTGGAGGTCCATGATCTCCCACACCAGTCGACAAGGCACCGGATGATGATGAAAGCTTTGTCAAAGATGGACTTTTCAACATCACCAAAATGAATTTTTAAACTGTGATTAAGGCTTACAATTTTCTTGTTTTTTTTAATGATTTGTGATAGGAACAACACAACAAAAACAAGTTGTTTTTTTTTTTTTTGCCTTGTAAAATGTACCTGAGCTGGCTTAATGTTTCCTACCAACTGAAAAGGATTAATGTGCGCTCATATGACCTTATGCAGTTGCGAGCGCCGTTAAATGATTACGAAAAAAAAAAAGAAAACAAAAAAACCAGACTTACGTGGATTGCTTGCGACACCGATAATATGTAGCAAGTTACTTTTTGCTTGAATGTTTGATGTATCAGAATGTGTCATTAGTTTTATTGTATTGGCTGCGCTACATCTCTTTTTAACTCCCCAACCCCCCACCCCCCACTTTCCAGGAGCCTCATTCTTCGCCATCATGCTCCACGCGGGGTTCTATCAGACGCAGGAGGAGTTGGAAGGATTTGATCTACAGCTGGAGGAAGTGCAGACGGTCTAGTCTCCCGTCGTCGGCGTCTCACTACCTCCTGACGTCACATCACCGTCACCTGATGTCATGCCATTGATACTTGATGTCATGTCACCGTCACCTGATGTCATGTTGCTGATACTTGATGTCATGTCACCTTCACCTGATGTCATGTCACTGTCTCCGCTTGATGTCAAGTGGCTGTCACTTAATGTCATGTAGCTGTCTCAGCCTGATGTCATGTCGCTGTCACTTGACATGTTGCTGTCACCTGATGTCATGTCACTGCGTCCTGATGTCTTGTCAGCCAGACTGAACAGAGGGACACTCACCTGGTGTTACTTATCTATTATTTAATCTATTATTTTATACTTGAACAATCAGTCAGCGAGGATTTTGTCGTCATACACCACATTTGTTTGTGTTTGCAACTTTCTGTGGGTTTGTTTTGTTTTGTTAATGTTTTTGCCTTGTATTGTGTACAGCGTGGGTTCAGAGACCTATGTTGAGGCTGTTTTTGAAAAGGTCCTTTTGTGGGGGGGGATATCAGTAAATGGTGCTTGTTAATTCGTTGCCATGGTACTGGAAGCTGGACAGTGTTCTCCCCGATACAGGAAGCTTAACGGGTTTTTCTGTGACGCAGGTTTTTGTCTCATTTTGGACATTGTTTTGTTTTTCGTTTTAAGTTTTTGTTGCGGCAGTGGTTTTTGTCTGGTCAAATGGTCAAGCTGTAAGTTTGATGTGGATGTCTTCAGCTTGCCAGTTACAAAAACCTTGCTGATTTTATTAATTTTTGTTAAGGAGTCTCTAGGTGTGTTCATTGAGGAGTTTCGCTCACGTCTCTTTCTGCTCTGGGTAAATTATGTTTTCCTTTTTGCTGAGAAGGAATAGGTTTTTTGAGGAGTCTGTGATTGCTTCTCTTTCTCCTTTCTGCTCTCTGTACGTAATATTTTCCTTTTTTTGTGTGGCCATTGAAGTGAATAGAACTCGTCTAATTTTTGTCCGGAAGGATTCAGCTTTTTGCCACAGAGTCCAACTGGTGGGAAATTTTCACTGCCTGGTTTGTGCTTGGGTGGTTGGCGGGTGCTCTGATGTGGTTTGCTCTTTCTTTCCTATCAAACAACTATCGTCTTTATCTCTCCTCCTTTTTTATGTTTGTTATTCTCTTGTAACGCCTATAATCTTCGGCACTTATATGACCTTATTGTGTTGCAAGTGCCGTGAAGCTCTTACTAAAACTTAAACTGGTTTGTGCCTTGTAGCAAAGTCTTTTTGACATATCCCGTTATTCTCCTATAAAATGTCCTCTTCAGAAATTCGCCCATTATCTCCTACCACTGTCTTTGGAGTTATAATATGAACGCTGTCTGAAACATTGTGAGACTCCCTGTTATTGTACATAAGATGAGCATTTTTTAAAAAAAGGTGATAACCATATCAGTTTGTGTGTATGTAACCGTGTATGATTTATATAGACATGGGTTTTTTTGTCTTAATTTTAAAATTTTCAGTCCTTTTCATTTTTATGTTTTTCATCCGGTGTCTGGTCTTTGCAAATTTCTACGCTGTTTTCTCTTAACAACAATGAGACCCATTGCTAAAACCTGCTTCTCTGTATGATTAGTAGCAACAGAATAAATGTGAGTGATACTTAAATGTGTGTAATAGGCTGCAATACTGAATTCCCCTCAGGGACTTGACTGAGCAGGCCTACTGAACGAATTGTCAAGGTTTTCTGAATATGTAGAGGGTTACTTGAATATTCAGGAGCTCTTAAACGGTATGTGGGGAGCGTATATATTTTTCTATATTTTTTCTTTTACGGGGTGTCTTTCTGTTTATTGACACTGAGGGAACTTTTTGAAACAGGTCTGTACCTCTACTCTCTTTTTACTGACTGGAGAATTTCTGTGGAGATCTGAAGATGTGTTTAGGATGCCAGATACAGTCATGCACAGATAACTCAAACGCGTCGACAAATATGGTGGACACATTCATGATTCGGGTTAACTAATTGAAAAATGAATATTAAAGAGATATCCGTCGTGGAATGTCAAATTGTTCAAGCGATCCTTTTTTTGAGTTTTCTGTATTCGTTTTATCTATGCCTGACTGTTGATCATATGTGATTCTCACCGGCCGAGTATGTGTACTTTGATTTATTATGGAATTCAGACATGATATTAATATTAATATTTCCTTTGCCAAATTATGGACGAAATTATAATAATATATTCGATTACATCAGCTCGTTTTTGTCACTTCTGCTGTCGCGTAAGTTTTGTAAGGATTGTTTGAGCTCTTTGAAAATATATGGTCTTGATTATGCTTGAAAATTTATGATTATGATCCTTTTGCAATGAGAGGAAAAAGTATGGTGCCCTATGCAAATCGTTGTAACTTAGGTGTAGGGGAGACACACAGAACCTATAGTATAGTATAGGCGTGTCTGTTTGAGAGGTGAGACTGTTCTCACTACAACTGTTTTGTTGGAAAGTTTTACTCAACCTGGCACAGTATTTTTTTCTAGTTTGCTCACTAGGCTTTTTAATGCACCGAATACATGCGAATGAATCGTTTGATGAGGTAGGTTAGAATTTGTTTCAGCCGAATATTACCAGTATTAATTAACGAATAACTGTTTCTCATTCTTGTTAAATGGCTCTCTCATTTGTACCTCAGGAGAATTGTAGGGAGTCCACACAAGTATTTTTGATTATGTCCTGTTGGGGTGGCTCTCTCATTTGTACCTCAGGAGAATTGTAGGGAGTCCACACAAGTATTTTTGATTATGTCCTGTTGGGGTGGGAATGGGGCCTAATTTTTTATCAGGTCTGAAAATCTGTCTGTGTCCTTAAATCAGTGCCCCCCCCCCCCCCCCCCCTCCCTATTTGTTTACATTTTTGTATCTTTCCTTTTTCTTCTTCTACTACTTCTTTTGCTTCTTTAAATTTCCTTTTTGGAAAGTGGTGGCACAGAGTTCCCCACTTATGACCTTATGCAGTTGCGAGCGCCGTAAAACCCTCTACTCTAACTATAACAAGAGTTCCGTCCGTCGTATGGATAGGATAGTAAAACGCGACGTACGGATAGGGTGAACAGAACATTTATTGCCATAGATTTTTGTCAATTTCCTCTGTCACCTTCGTGGCTTAAAGGGCTCTCTCTTACCTCCCCTGGTGCAGGAAAACTATTTATATGTATAAAGGAACTATTTGTATAAAGGGCGAGGCAATTTTTAAAAAGACATTTGTACTTTAAAAATAATAAGTTAATTTAACCAAGTACGCTGGTGTTAATGGTGTAGCAGTTAGGAACTTCGCTGTGTCACGCAGGAGACCCAAATTCGATTCTCGAGTGGGGAGAACATTTTTATGTTGAGTATCTCTGTCTTCTTTGTGTCCCTCCCTCTCAGCCCAGGTTGGCCCTGAAAGACAGAGTGGGTGGTTGGCGGGTGCTCTGGTGTGGTTTGCTTCTTCTTTCCTATCAAACATCTATCGTCCTTATCTCCCCTTCTTTTTTTTATGTTTGTTACTCTTTTGTAACGACTCTAATCTTCTGGCTCTCATATGACCTTATGCTGTTCTGAGCGCCGTAAAACCTCTGCTAAAACTAACGCTTTCAGACTAGAGTTGGAAGCCCGCCTCCTATATGATCTGAATTGTGTCAATACCCGTCTGCTGGGACATTTCAGTAACCCACTTTCAGCACTTTTTAATGACCCCCGGGCGAGTGTTGAGTTCCTGCGTGCTGTCGGCATCGCTGACCGTTTATGAAGCCACAGCGCCAGAAGAGAGAGAGAGAGAGAGAGAACTGTGTCAATGCGGGTGCAAAAGCACCTAACTACTACATTATTTGTTAGAAACTTCACCAGGTGCGTGTGTGATTGTGTGCGATCTCTTCACTGAATGTACTGTTTTGTTAGTTTGTATAGATCTATCTAGCAAGTAACCCCCACGGGGCGGTGTTACTGACTGAAGTGTCTTTAGACCGTTCCCAAAGGGGGGGGGGGGGGGGGATAGGGCATTAACTAACCCAACCAGCCCCAGCCATTTTTGTGTATTCCCTAACCCCAATCCCAGCCAGTACAACAGTATTTCAGATTAGAAAGGTACATGCATTCGAAAAAGTGATGTAGTATCTTTGTAATGAGGTTTAGATAAAAACATGTAACAATATTTAAAGATTTATAAATGAACAAATATTATGAAAATTAAAGTTCAATTAGGTTCGCTAATTTTTTAAGATGTGCAAAATCGGTATGCCCCAAAACTGAGAATATACGCTTTTGGGACGGTGGGAAGTACAAGCCCTGCTGAAAATACGCGAGCATGGGGCTGGAAGGGTTTAACTTATTCTTATGCACAGTAGAATTGTAAATGGGCTGATTCATCATTGTCATGCTCCTAGCTGTGCCTGAACTGCAACAGGGAACTGCTGCTTTTTCTTTCCTAATCCTTACTATTGTCATTTTTCCTCTACTTTTTTTGTATGTTTGTCACTCTCTTGTGACCCGCTATTTCCGGGGTGCCTTGATAGTCGAAGGAGACTGTGCTGTTGAAGCTTGAGAGGTGAGCAGAGTAAGTCTGATTCCCTGTAAGGACTTCTCTGTTGACATCCACCCCTTGGCACTCGTAAAAATTCTACTAAAACTAAAAACTGACTAACAAGTGAGATTGAGCTGTGTCTACTAGACAGGTATGGTTTTAATACCCGGAACTTTTTGTGTTTAGATAAGATAATATCAAATAAATCTTTATTGTCCAGATCTGAGCACATTGTTTTGGTGTTTTTATCATGTACACACACACACACTTGCGTGCACACACACCCATGTCTATGCAAGCACATACACACACACACACACACACACACACACACACACACACACACACACACACACATATTGCATGCACTTGCATATGCGCGCACACGCACGCACGCACACGCACACACACACACTCACACACACGCGCTCACACACACACACACACACACACGCATAATCATTGTAGATATTTGAGGATGAGGTACTTTTCAATTCACATGATATGACCTATATTATTATGCATTACCTACTCCTGCTTTGTCATTGAAGTGTTGCGGGTTGACATGTAATAAAACCAGCAAAAATCACAATGTGTGTAGTGTTTGTCTTGCGTTTCAGTTTCAGAAATAGTGTCTGTTGTTCTTGCTGCTCCCAGCCATGTTGTCAACTTGTCCAGTATCTTTTCCCTGTGTCTGCCTCTGCCTCTCTTTCCATCAGACGTGTCTGTTGTTACAATATTCTCCATATATACAGTCCGTGCCGGCTATAAGCACGCCGGCCTTAAGCACGTTTCGGACTCAAGCACGCTAAACGGCTCTTATCGAGTTTTTGCTCTATAAATTACACGCCTATAAGCACGGTAACTTCAGCTTCAAGCACGCTTCATTTACAAGGCAGTCAATATTTTCATGATGACCCATCGAAGTTCGAACACAGTTTACACCGCAACAGTGGAGTGTGTCAAGAGAAACACAAAGAACGCAAGTGATGGACACACACACACGCACGGGCGGAGAGGAAGGCAGAGAGATGCACACAGCCGTTCGCGCGGACATAGGATCTAGCCTAGGCCTAGGGCAAAGCTACACACGATCAACAACAAAAAAAAGAGTCGGGGAGATGAGAAAGAGAGGCTGGCTACAATTTCACCTTTGACCCTCGCTACCCATTAATCCTGATTGTGTATCACGCGCGAGGCGGGATGAAGGCGGTGGTATGAGTGGCATAGCGGGCAGTGGTACGCCCAGGCAGTGTGTTACAGTAGGCCTAGTGTGCTGTATCGTGACTGGCCGTCTAAATTAAGTTTTCATTTCCCATTCGACCACAAAACAAAAACAAACAAGCGAACAAAAACTACCATGGCGGGTGTCTAAATAACAGTGCACACTTTTGCGGGACCGCTACAGGCCTACTTACAAACTAAGGGAAATAGCACGGGGAATTTTCTACATGAAAATCTCTGGATTATGTCTACTTCGCACTCTAGCACGCTTCGGCTTTAAGCACGCTTAAGCTTTCTCCCGACGACCGTGCTTCAAGCCGGCATGGACTGTATTGTATCTGCCATGCTGCAGCACATTTCTTTTTGTGGTGACCTATAAATTGTTAATTTATTAACGCTGCCTCCTTCTCATCTCCCTCCTTTTCGTCCTCCTCCTCCTCCTCCTCCTCTTCCTCCTCATCCTTCTCCTCATTCACCTCCTCATCCTCCCCCTCTTCCTCCTCCTCCTCCTCCTCCTCCTCCACCTTCTCCTCCTCCTCCACCTTCTCCTCCTCCTCCACTTTCTCC